AGGCTTATTGAGGTTACTGATCATGCATGCTTGGTTATTCATAGTTCTCCCCCAGGGAAACACCACAGTGGTAGGAACTGTGTCCTTTTGGTGATTTTCTGGAGATCCTACATTGTCAAAGTTCAGGATCCTTGATTGTACAACTGTGGGCATTGCCTCATGGGATTTCTGAAATCCCGCATTCATCCTCTCTATTTCTCTGAGTAGTGCTCTATTATCCTCCTGCTGATGGGTCACCTGTTGCGTTATTTTCTTCATCATAGCAAAGAGTTTTGCAGTAGTGACCAAGGCGGTCAGATCCTGGAGTCCTAAAGATCCCAAACTCCTTGGTTAGTGACAATAGGGGTGTTTTTCTTGGAAGTATTAGGAGTTTTCCTCTGAGTTGGGGGCCTACTCGGAGGAGGTGGTAGGTTTTTAGTGGGAATGGAAGGAGCGGAGGATGAAGAAATGATCAGTTGTGTAGACATGATTTTTTTCGGGGATTTTGAACACCAGGGCCCCACGGTGGGCGCCAAATTGTTCTGGTCAAAAATTACACAAGTACTAATTAACCAAAGTGAATGAGAGGTTGTGATGTTCGAATTATGCATTAGAGAAATGTAAAGTGAATGACACGGTTGTTTACAAGGAAAGCCCTTGATCCTTGCTAGGATCTCCGACACAAAACCTTGGAAGGTGACAATGATCACATGCCTTGATGATTTTATTTATGTAAATTGATGATGACAGAGAATATTTTAATAAGAACAAGTGAATGATTTCGTAGATTAAGCTTAGAATAAACACAGTGTGTTGTGTGCAAAAAACAAGTGTCATTTTATAGACTAAACTAGCCAACAAGATGTCCCATATTTCCGGGATCGTCTATGACCAGTTTCATGAACGTTATTTGATCAAGTATTCCGGGTCTCTTGCATGGTTGAGATGATTCTTCGTTGAGAATTGGTCTTCCATTGACTATTTCCGCACATGCATTATTTATGAACAAAATATGACCGTTATAAAAGTTAGTAAAAATAATAACGGTAATAGTCGGGATCTTGAAGTAACTGAGGGTCTCGTATATCCGAGGATCCTGGATATTTGAGGATCTTGACCCTAACAATTATGAAACCTAGTTGGAAGATGGGGTTTAAGAATAGGAAGTATAAACACACAACAAAAAGGCCATGTGATTACATACTCTCAAACCTATGGGGATCAATAAGGATAACATATGGATATGTAGCTTTCTATGTGCTCACTGTCATTAACAATTTATTTATAAAGCAAAAGACATTTTTTTTTAAAGTTAAGAAATTAGAAAGTATATGGTTTGAAGTAAAATATCTTTGTATTGGTAATGGGCTTGATTTTTTTTAGAGTTCAATGACTATTACCAAAAGGAAGGGTTTACTCATTATAATCTAGTGACAAACAAAATACAACAGAATAATGTTGTCAAAGATATGAATCGCACAATTATGGAGAAAGAATGACGCATGCTCTCAACCTCCATGTTGCTAAACTCATTTTGGGATAAGGCAACTTAAATTGTTTGTTATGTTGTCAATTGATCTCTTTCACTTGTAATTAAGAATAACACTCACATTAAGTTGTGATCCGGAGAAACTTTCAACTACAAAAAGTTGAGACCATTTGGATGTCCAACATATGGCGTTCAGAGATGAAGAATGTAACTGTTCAAGATACGTAACTTTTGACGAAGTCGCTATGATTCAATGGATCACTAACCTACCTATTATGATATTTAAATCATATTAAGGGAAATGAGAAGGAAACGCAAGTAGAGGTGGAGCTACCATTCGATGTGGAGTTGTCAAACACTCCCACCAGCTCGCAAAATACTACTTCACAAAACAAATATGCTCCATCTAGTTAGCATGTGGCTTGTGTGTCTCCTCTGTCCTCATCAACTCAAGCTAATGATCCATGTATTGCAAGATACAGTGTTGTAAAACTCGCCGAGTTGTCCGATTACTCCTCCAAGTACTCACTACTTGGCCCCTTGTCGAGACGAGTTGCAGAATCCCGAGTACTCCCCGATTGACCCCTTGCTAAACTAAGCAGTGTTGTAAAACCCGGTCAATTCAGTGATTAATATGTATAATATACTTAATGATTTATTATTTAACACACACACACACATGTGATTATTACTACATATATATCTTAAATTTTCAAAAATTATTCACGAGGTGAGACCATTATGTGTTTTTCTGTTTTTGTATATTCACATGTATCTAATTTTGTTATATATTTCAATCAACTTTTGATTTTAACTTATGATTTTGACATATATAATTTCCCTACAAATATTTCTACATGAATTACAGAATCCGAGTACCCCCCGAGTACTCGCTATTCGTAGTCGGCCGAACAGGTACCGAGTAACGAGTTTTACAACCTTGGAAAGAGATATATTGAGAAGACATATTACCTCTTAAAATGTATGATTAAGCAAATTTAAGACCCACCATTTTTAATATCAAAGTCTTAAAAACAAGGAGCTAGATTTTGAACCTTTAGATCTTCATTCAATGGTTTAGATTAATTATATGGTGATCCATGTAAATAACGAGTTTTACAACCTTGGCAGGAGATATATTGAGAAGACATATTACCTCTTAAAAGGTATGATTAAGCAAATTTAAGACACACCATTTTTTAATACCAAAGTCTTAAAAACAAGGAGCTAGATTTTGAACCTTTAGATCTTCATTCAATGGTTTAGATTAATTATATGGTGATCCATGTAAATAGGTTTAAACCAATCAAAAATAATTACTACAACTATAAAATCAAGATGGTTAACCCTAATTTCAGAACCCATCGTTCCTTTTTCTCTGTGAAATACTTCTAGCCATGTATGGTGGTGAAACGCCGACTAATGCAGAAACAATATTGTTCCTTCCCCATAATGACCCACAACAATCATAAAACACCAAGTTTAACACTCATCTTCCCTTTCACCACCATCTCTCACTGTTTTTTTTATTTCCTATGAAATACCTAGCAACCAAAATTACTCATCCCTGTGGTTATCTTCACTTGCTCTACTAACGTTGTTGGAAAACTACACATTAAAACCCACCAAACGTCGCCTCCGACCACCAATCCTTAAGTTACTGCTCACCTGGATCTAGAAAATCTTGATTCGGAACCGTCCTCAACCACCTATCATAGCCATTCTAAACACGCAAAAGTCTGGTTCTGGAAACACTATAGCAAAAACGTCCACAACAACCATCGCTTTCCACCAACATCCACTGCTAGCTTTGTTTCTACATCTCTCTTTCTAAGAATCCTAAATCTTGGTTTGTATGTAATTTTTATTAGTTTTTCGTTGGTAAGTGTTTGTATTTTTCATGTTTAATATATATTTGTGTGCTTAGTTTTTTTTTAGAATCTAATAACCGTTTCTGGTAGTTGTAATCAAATTATTAGCTTTATAATAGTATTTGTCGTTGTATATCTATTTATCAATGCATTGCAGATTTACGTTTTGTATTTTTATACATCATTAGTAAAAGGTTTCAGAAATACTTTATTTGATTCTTCTTTGAAAAGAATCATTCTGCAGGTTTATAGAATTTCTTCATAATATGTGATCTATATTTGTTTTTTTTTTTTTTTTTTATAAAGATAATAAAATCTCGAAACTTGAGTGAGTTTTAAATTTAAAAAAAAAAAAAAAAAAAAAAAAAAAAAGAAACAAACAGTATTGGTTATGTTTTATATGGTTGTTAGACTTTATTTTGTTTGTTAGAAACTAATAAGAACTTAAAATCATTATCTAATGTATAAACACGTTTAGAGTGAATTAAGTAAATAAATACTAACATATTCTGGTTATTAATGTTTTAATCTATTTTTAATCTAAATGTATTTGTAGATAAACATATTATATCGATAAAATATAAGGTATACAGTTTTTTATAGATGTGAATTTATTATCTATAATTAAATTAACGGAAAAAAGAAAAGTGGTACTTACATGATGGCATTACAGAAGAGTAAATTGATTGACTATTCGTATACTGGAAATTGAAAATTGGAAAGACAATTTCTTTTGGAGCGGCAGTTGGAAGGATAAATAGAACGACACATTGTCTGCCTTCACTGTTCTTTTATATTATTTTTATTTTACCTCTTTGAGTAATGATTAAAATTTAAAAATACATCCATATTTTTTTTTTACTTTAAACCTAAACTCTTGTATAATTAGTTTGGATGTATAAATATATATATATATATATATATATATATATATATATATATATATATATATATATATATATATATATATATATATATATATATATATCTTAAAACTTATATTTTTCAATTTCCAATTTTAGTTATGCTTAAAAAAACATATATTTTTCAATTTCCAATTTTAGTTATGCTTAAAAAACATATAATAAACCGCATGCCTCAAAATATAACAAATTATATTAGAGGTAAAAAAGATTTTGTGATAAAGAGGACAAATGGATAATTCTTAAAGGATCTTTATGTATTTTTAATCTTGAAATTATTGTTTATGTTTTGAGAATTTTGTTTTACTCATATTGCTTTAAATATTGCTTTAAGAAGTTTTGTTACAAATGATGTTGAACCATATTAAATATATTAAATTTCATAAATATTTTTCAATTTTAATTATTATTACCAAATTCTTTATGTAATAAATCAAAATGATAATCATTTTTTTTAAATATCTTTTATATAAGTTTTTAATTTGATGTATGATTTAAAGTCATTTATTTTTAAATTCAACAAATTAATACACAATAGTCATCATTAAACCTCAAAAAATATGCACAATTTATTTTAAAAAATGAAAATTCAAATTATACGTATCTAATATAATTTACATGCTTGTCTAAATTTTTTTTTTTTTGAACAACAAGAATTTTATAGAAAAGAAGCTTAACAAGAAGCTAGAATTACATTAGTTTAATACATTCTCGTGTAGGGCTAAGACGTTAATTTTCCTAGTTCAAGAAATAACCTTTTCTAGATCGGTATTTAATCCATTCGAAGGCCAACATCTTCACCTTGCTAGCCAACATACGGCAAATTTTAACCTTGCCATTAAATATTTTATCACATCTGTAAGTCCAAATAATCCAAGCAAAAGCAGAAAGCACAACCGAAACAACCTTACTTACGCACCCAGGGGTACCAGAACTGGACACACAACCGAAGTAGTCATGGAGAGAGTTGTTATCCACCGGAACCTGATTCCACCAATTTTTGATGGCAGCACGCACCTCCCTAGCGACTAAACAATTCAGAAAGAGATGGGACTCTGCCACTAACAAAATGTTGCAAAGGGGACATAAATATGAGCCGATAAATACCTCAATTTTCTCTAGATTACTACAAGTAGGCAATCTTTGAAGAATATATCTCCATACAAATATATTAACTTTACCAGGCAAGATTTTGTTCCAAAGAGTACTATCTTCAAGGCATATCAAAAGATGGTTATCAATAGTTTTCCTACACGATGCCACAGTAAAACATCCTTCATTGTCTTCAATCCACTTCCATTTCTTATCCTGAAAAATCAATAAATCGTTAATGTCGACCTGATTACGCATTAGGTACAAGTGAAGATGGCTAATGGCACCCCAAGTCCCTCCTCTTGTAGCAAGCGCCATGGTGCAACCAATCCCACCATCAGTCCCATGTAATGACATAATGACATCACACTATTCCGCTATCATCATTTCTAAACCGCCACCACCACTTAGCTAGTAAGGCATAGTTGAACGTTCTGAGACTACCAATGTCTAAGCCACCATTGTCCCTCGAGTTAAGAACTTTCTTCGAAGTATGTATGTTACATAAGATATCCTTAAATTTTCATATATATATATATATATATATATATATATATATATATATATATATATATATATATATATATATATATATATATATATAAGTGGTTTGACTCAGTTAGCATCAGAATATCCGAAAGCAAAACGTATATATATCCGATTAAAAAAATAGAAACTAGACTTAGTATTTTAAAAATGATTCCTTAAATTCAACTTCGACTTGATTTTTCAGTTATAATAATCATAAATACTAACAGATACATGAGTTACAAAAAGAAAATAATCTTCAAAAATAAACTATTTGCCGAAAAAAATTATTCGTTTTTGTAAACTTATATAATTGTAGAAAAATTATTTCCGAACAACGTACTGAAAGAAACTACTTGCCGAAAAAAAATAATTTCGCCGATAACTAATCAAGGAATGTTTAAGGTTTCAGAATTTTAGAAAAATTAGAAACTAAAACATATTTTGCTAAAGGTAACAAATAATTGAGAATAAAGTATTTCTCAAAAAGAAATTGTCTGCCATCTGCAGAAAATAAAACTAATTGCACAAAAGAAACTATTTGTGAAAAATCCTACAAAAAGAAACAAACTGTTGTCGGAAACTGATTGCGAAAAGAAACTATTGACGCCGCTGCATTGCACGCGTACACGACTAGTGTGTGTGTGTGTATATATATATATATATATATATATAAGAGAGAGAGAGAGAGAGAGAGTAAGAGAAAGATGGTTGTTATGCTTAGCGAGATGTGGAGTCATGGGTGGATCCCTTTAGGGGCTAGGAGGGGCCATGGTTCTCCTGTTTTTTTTGCCTTGTAATATCAAAAAAATCTAAATAAGATTATTAGTTTAAGGTAAATACTACTACTGGCCCCTCGGGATTTAGAAAAGGTTAAAAGAGTCAATAATGCATCTATTATAACAGTTCTTCGTAGAACAAAATATTAATATAAGACTAAATATGTATTTTCCGGCATAAATGTGTATGTGACAAAAAGTTGTAAAGAACGATCTTGTGCTTTAAAGATTTGTTACAACTAAAGAGATAAATAGGAGGATAAATAGGAGAGAAGTTGCAAAAAAAAATCATCAAAGTTCAAAGAGAAAAATATCTTCATAAAGTTAAAAACACAACTGAGATACAAAGTATTAGAGAAGCGTCACCAACAACCGGAGAGTAGGGTTTCTTTCCTATTTCACCCTTGTTGTCACTTTGCCTCACCCACACACCGCCTACGCGTACGCATTCTTCTTCTCTGTTTGTGGTTATCATCCTTTTGCTTTTGAGGCTTAAAATGTATATAACTTAATATACATATATATAGAAAAGTGAATATACCCTTAAGGGTATATAAGCTTAGGTATCCAAACTTAAAATATTATGTCGTTTTCTATCATATATATATACATTATATTTGTCCAATGTTCTTATAATTCAACTTATAATTTTATTTACTTTCAAAATTTGTATAAATTTCACTTTTATCTCCCTCTTACATAATTTTTATTTTCAACTATAATATATCTAACATAGTAGGTGTTCGGTAAAAAAATGTGATGTAAGAGGAAAATAATAGTGAAATTCCGAAAATCTTGATTGTAAATCAAGTTAGGAATTGACGTTAAAGAACATTATAATGAATATACCAAACAAAATGATGTATTATAGTGGGTTTGGGTACCTAAGCTTGTATACCTTTGAGGGTATATTCACTTTTCTCATATATATATATATATATATATATATATATATATATATATATATATATATATATATATATATATATATATATATATATATATATATATATATATATATATATATATATATATATATATCTTTTGTTAATAGCTTTGTTTCATGATTACATAATGTCGGAGTTAAGAGTTACTGTGAACTTTAGTATCTTTTCTATAATGTCTCTCTTACGTTTATTATTTTTCTTTATAATGGTTTTTGTAGTTAATGGTAAACATTACCTAGACCCATAGGATGCATAGTTCAACCTAAATCAATTAATTTAGTTTGTTTTCTTAAATATATTTATATACAGGTCTTTGGCTAAATTGTCAAAACTTGATTGTATAAACGTTGATAAACTTTTATTATATGTATTGATTTAATTGTCATTTTGGTACAGATCTTGTGCGAGATAATTCCTTTTTAATTATTCTTGTGAGCATTGTTATTTTTTCGAAAAAATTTTTTATTGAACATTATTATATATATATATATATATATATATATATATATATATATATATATATATATATATATATATATATATATATATGTGTGTGTGTGTGGACACACTATAGGATTCGGCCCCCTTCTTACGTTGCTCGTGTTTCGCCACTGTGTGGAGTCATTATAGAAAAATAACATACGGGATCGTGTGTGATATTAAGATGTCATGAATCGATTATACTAACATCTACTCTCCAATTATCAAACACACATCTGTAAGTGCAATATTAGGATGGTTTCCTTTAATGATGATGAACTAGAACAACTAGATATAACTACAACATTAAGGGTAAGCTTAAAAAATAGATTTTTATGCAAAAGTGTAGGGAAAATGACTTAAAAGCCCAACGAAGTTTTTAAACCATTCAAAAAAACCTAATCATGTTTTGTCTGTTAAAAAAAACCCAACAAACTTAACATTTTGCCTAAAAAATCCAACAAAGTTTCAAACCGTTCAAAAAATCCTAATTTTGTTTTGTTTAAGTTCGGTAGGTTTTTTTTTAACAGTCGAAACATGATTGAAGTTTTTTAAACGTTTTGGAAACATCGTTGGTCTAACAAGTCATTTTTCCGATACGGTAATAAGTCATGTCATCTGTTTCTCTTATTTGACTTTCAGGAAAGTATAACTTAGTTGAGCTTTTTAGACAAAATGTTAAGTTTGTTGGGTTTTTTTGAACAGACAAAACATGATTGAGGTTCTTTGAACGGTTTAAAAACTTCGTTGGGCTCGTAAGTAATTTTCCCCAAAAGTGTAAGGGGTTTGTAGTTTTGATCTGGCAATGAAGACTATGTGTGCAAGTTGAAGAAATCTCTAACGGGTCTTAATCAATTCCAAACTTAAGGAAACTAAAATGGAAACCGCTCACATCAGTTCCACTTACAAAAATGGCAGTTTCGGTTCCATGGGCAATTACGTGACACCATTGATCACCACTAATCATTCTCATTCATCAATCAGCATATATGAAACAATTGGTGTGAAAGGCGACTAATTTTAAGGTTACAATAAAGATAAAAGTGTAAATTGGCTTTATCCCTTATATATTAGAACTTTGAAATCGGTAAGGATAGACCGACTAATTAAAAGGTGTTTATTATCGAAATTCCATATATAATTTTTTTTTTAATGTAAAGACATTAAAATACATACTAACAGTGGCAAACCGCAATAAATGAATAATACAATCACAAACAAACCTGAAATGTCATTGTAGTTTGTAAATCTACAAAATTTATAACTAATGTAAATTGATTAAGAAAAATAAAAATAGAAATATAGTTGTTGGTATCTATTCTGTTTTTATTGGTGGTACACTTAATTTGGCCAAAAGGTAGAAGGGTTGTAAGTAAAAGTATATACCTGGAATTTAGGAAGGAAGTGATCGAATGCACATATCGTTTGCAAAGAGCAGAAAAATTGCAAAAACACAATCAAGTTCCTATCGTTAGATCATATATGCATCGATCATGAATGTATACGTCAATTAGTCAGACAGAATGGAATAATGATCATCAAATGTACGAGAAAACTGCACCATCATAACATGAAATTCTCTACCTTCGGGTCGTGTAAATTACAATTCATTAGCAGAACGAACGTAAAAAAATATATATATATATTAAAAAAAATTAAAAAGTTATTTATTTATTTTCAGTCATATATATGATGAATGCTTTCTTATGTTTCTCGGGTTTGAAAACTGCATCATTTCGTCGGCCTTCAAAATATGATTTAATTGCTCCGTATAATGCAAAATGGATCTATATAAGCGTAATTTAGATCACTTTTTTTATTTGCAGAATATAATTTTCCAATCAAACATGTTCAAAAGTAAATCATAGCTACGAAAAACGAATCTGTACGTATTACGTTTTTTTTAGAGAGAGAGAGAGAGAGAGAGAGAGAGAGAGAGGAACGATGACCTTTGAATGAATTTGAAGGTAGGAAGAAGGAGAAACATGAAACACCATGCACGGACGGAAACTTCCAAAGAGATCGCATGATCCAAATTATAAACTCGGATCGAAATCTGTAAACTGCTTCCGATGGATGGGATATGATCATATGATCATATATATCATGATAGAATAAGAAAGAATGAGTTAATTATAAAACGGATCAATGCGATCCCTTTGGAAGCTTCCACCTGCTGCAACATAATCAAAATCTAGCGTACGTTTTAATTTGCTTTGCGTGTATAGTATATTAGTATGAAGCTTCAAGGATTGGATTTATATAGGATCAGGATGGGGGCTTGTAAAAGTAAAGTGGTGGGGGAGGGGGATCAGGGGAATTGTATTCTGACGAGTTTTTCTGTTAGATATCTGATGTAGGGTGTGGGTGTGGGTGTGGTGTGGTTGCATGTGTGTGTTAGTGTGTGATAATTTTAATTTTTGCTGTCACACTTTTCGTATGAATAAAGTTAGTTGGGGGTGTCTACTTTTACTTTTTTTTTCATTACAGACAAGGACGTGGACCAATAATAAATTGAATATTCGAGCTGTATCAAAATAAAAAACAATTATTTAAAATAACTATGACGATTATAGTCCTTTGAACTTAATTAAGATCTAGTTAAGGATCAATAATTGAAATCATTTCACTTATATTATTCTAAATAAAAATATTTTACACATAGTTCCACTTTTTACGATTTTGTGAGGTGCATTAGTAAAACACTTTTAGGAACTATTTGAAATGGTTATCTTAAATAAAATTTTGAAAACAATGTGAAATATAAAAGATTTTCAGTTAAAATCATTCAA